AGTAAAATATTACTTGTCGGCACAATGACCTCCGAAAACGTGATTGTGCTATCGTTAAATAAAATACGCAATAAACTAACAAATATCGATCAATTCAAATAAAATGAATCGATGTATATATATATAGTGCGTGAGAAACAAGTACAAAAAAACGTATTAGATGAGTAAATAATACGGCACACTTTCGTTCGACTTAATCTCGTGTTTAAAGTTTATAAAATCGCGTTTAATAATTATCAATCGATTAACATTAAAGACGAGTTTGACACTTCGTAAAATAAAGATTATGTTTTTTATAATGATTTTCACATTTTTTTTGTTTTTTTTGTTTTATACATGTCCACCTACGCGAATGGTATTGTTTTCTTCTTATATTCCCGGGACATAATATCTTCAGACTCTTTGTGCCGTCCGCTGTATAAGTCTGTTTAATGTCGCGCTCGTGGTATCATAAAGCTTAATCGATACACCCTGTCGTTTTATCGCGTCAAACAATATTGTCGTCTGAGACCCGTTGTCCGTAGCAACGGCCGACAATAATATTAAAACGATAATAGTGTGGAGGTCGTTGATCGCGTTATCGAGAAAAATCTATTCGCAGCGGACGGACAAAGACGCGCGCACTAAAAAATATCGCGTACAAAGCAAAGAACATAGAACGGAGGGGCCAAACAAAGATTGAACGCAGGGTTTTTTTTTTTTGTTTTTTTTTACACGTTATTTGTAATTTCGTTATTATCGAACACGCGCGGTTATTCGTCCGCGGCACGCGTAAACGAACCGTACCGTATCGCGTCCCGACCGCGACGACGCGGACACGGAATCCGGACGCTGGACGGCGGTCTCGAGGGGAATTCCGCGTGAGCCGATCAGCCGTACAAAAAAAAAAAAAATATTAGGTACCTACGCCGGGACGAAATTTCGTTTTTATATTTTACACACTTCTGGGAGCCGCGACGCGAGAAAAACACCGCCTCGGAAATCGCGCCCGTCGTTCGAACGCGGTTTTTCGCCGCCCCGTATCGAACGAACGCGTCGGCGTACCCATCCGACATTATAATAATAAAAATAATATAGCCGGTCGCGTCGTCGTTTTAAAAAATTGTCAAATTACACGGTCTGTTTACCGCGCGCGACAGAGTAAACGGGAAACGATTAAAGGCGATTAACCGGGGAACGCGGGGCTCGTGCGTAGGCGTAGCGCCGGTGTTTTCGTTCGCCTATTGTGTGTTATGTTAAAAAAAAAAAAAAACAAAATAAAACCATTTGAAAAAACGAAATACGTATCTATTGGAAACCTGGCAAGATACCTATTGTTACGCGGGCCCGAAATGACACAATGCACGCTCGTTATGCAGAAAGACGGCCCGCGCTCGTTTGTCGCCGGGTTTTATTTCATTTTTTTTTTTTTTTTTTTTTCCATAAGACGGTAAAAATTAATTAGAAAAACATATACGATAATAAAATATAACGACAATAAAATAAGAGAAAAAAAAACCAAACTAACAGAACGTGTTCGGGAAAAAACATATGGGACTCCTCTGTACGTCTCGCAGATGCCCGAAATTTACACAATGCGGAACGCTTTTGGCTTGTGCTCGAAGCGTGCTCGGGCGAGTATATTGTCTGTCGGGGGCGAAAAAAAAAATACGTGCATTGCGAAGACACGGGACAAACGTCGTTTGTCAAATGGTTACATTATTATCGAACGCTTTTGACAATAATGTTTCGGAACAACGGATTCGGCGTGCGTTTTGGTAAAAATGTTCGATACTTTTGTTTGTCAGCCATCCGACTGAAAACAATAATACCTACTATATTGTGATGTCGTATCTCATTCCGATATACATTCACGCGCGGTTTAATATTTTCGAATACACGAAACGATAACAAAATTCATTATTTCGTTATTTTGTTTCATTACAAGAAATTAATAATTATTATTATTATTATTATTATTATTTTTTCACAATATGCAATACGTGATTTCGAAAATAACGTCTTATCAAACCGCAATCAGTGGCGTATTTAAGATTTTGCCAAGGAACAGAGCAGAGATACTTTGAATTCGGAAGTTGTGTCGTTTATTGCAGTATAACGTATAACTAGATTAAAAAAAAAAAAAAAAAAACAATTTTAGATTCTGAATGGAACGAAGAATATTATGGTTTCACAATGATGTTTACTTTTTTTTTTTAATGTGAACACATTTTCTACCAGAAAGCATACTCTGATTATCATATATTTTCTATATTTTCTGAAAGGAAATGTTCTCTGGATGGTACTTTAAAGGGGTCATTTTTTGAAGTTCTCATTAATATTCGAGAATGAAGGAAAATATAATGCAGAAAACCTGGTTCTTTAGGTTAAAAAAGATTGAAAGATTAAAAATAAGGTTGTCGTTGGCGACCGTTTTTATTTATTTTTTGTTATGATTAGGTTTTTATTATTTTAAATATTTTTTAAACAATCATTGTTGTCATGGAAACGCACATTGTTGCAATCATTTTAAATAATGGCATTTATATTGTTGACAAAGCAACACTATCAACTGAGCTCCGCTCAAAATCGTTTTTTCGTTAGCAATAGATTATCGTTGCTTACGGACGTACATTAAATTCCCGTACGTGTCTTGCCTTCCCAACTTCCCACCTACAAAAGTGGCTGCACCCGCGCAAGTATGTCCGTATTTTTTTTAAATTTATATATTTTTGTAAGTAATTTATAATTAAATCTGACCTAAAATTAATATTGAAATCAAATAATTTATGTATTAGTAATCACCATTATTTACCATTTAGACATTATTACAATGGTTCGGATAGGTTTTAAACAAGACAATTATCCGTATAGGTTTTTATCTATAATATTTATTAACTATATAGGTAACGTGTTTGATTTTGATTTTTCCGACCAATCGATTTACACAAAATAGGCTGAAATCGTATAAAATAATAATAGATATACTAAAAAAAAATTTAAAAAAAAACGAAGGAGATTATTAATGGAGGAGATACATCGCACTAATCTATGTCCCTTAAATGCACCACTGTGTGTTAAACCGAACTAAAAACTTGAAATATTCCAACGAAAAATGCGGTGTAAAGGATTTCAATTTTAAAACGAATAACGCACTCTCGCATTGACGCAATAGGTACCGTGTTTTTATTCGTCGAAATTGTATAAAAATAATTATAATATAAGTTTGTAAACAATTGCATAAGTATGCAATTTCGCTCAGGTAGCACCGGTCTTGGTTTTTTAGACGATACTATTGGCGTCGCATGCTATGTTTATGGCATATTATGTGTATACCTAAACATTATAACGGTGTTAAAAAAAGTCCTTGGATAACTATTTATGGTTTTAAATGAGTAAATTGTGTGTGTGTGTATTTTTTTTTTCGGTGCATATAATAATAATAATAATAATATACGCTACGATACACGTAGAGCATAACGCTACTAAATTAATTTTTCATTATAATATGCTTCAAACATAATAATAATAACATAGAAATCGTTATTTTTAATTTTCTCCACGCCTCATATGACCCAAATAAGTATTATGTTTTCCAGTCGTTCGTTTTTTCGCATGTTCCGATAAATAGAAAAAAAAAAAAAAAAACGTATAGCATATTCAAATAAAAACGCATAACGAAACGACGCGACGGAACAAATTTGAAATCTTTGTTATTTTATTTTATTTTCCGGTTATTTTTTTTTTTTGCGAAACATCACTCACAGTCTCGGGGCCGACGACGACGACGACGATATCCCGCCAAAGATGATCGTATATTTCGCCACGCCGTCTCGTCTGGTTTTTCTCCATAATAAATATCAAACCATTGTCGTCTCCTTCTGGCAGTGACGTGCGCTAACGAAGCGTACAATCTGTCGCAGGGGATTTAACGCCGCAGTCGTTATTTGATTGCGTGTACCGAGGACGCACTATTTTCGCGAAACTCGGATTACACATTTTTTCCGCGTTTATTGCGCACGCGGCACCGCCGCGTTCGGCGAGCGATTTCGTTTGTTTTATCACGCGTTAAGTAGTAAAACGCCACGCGAAATATCGCCATTGCACACGTCGCGTGCCAACGCGAGTGGTGGCGAGGTGTTTTCGTTTTTCGACGGATGCAATGCGAATCAGAACTGCCGCGCTTCTGTTTAAGCTGGCGTACGGTGCGTGTATTGTTCGGGTTGTAAATAGTTCGGCGTCCACGCTGGTCGAAAAACACAACGCGTATTGTGCAAAACGTTTTTTTGTCGCGCGGTCAACGAACCGTTTTTTTTTTTTTTTTTTCGTTTACCGACTGCGCGCCTGATCCGCGCCCTACGAAAATTCAACAACAATGGCCAAGTTTCCGAATCGTAAAGACACTTTTTGAAAAACGACCGTCACGCAGGAAGTGCCTGTCCCTTCGCTTCGGCCGTCTTTCCGATCGGGCCGTGCCTCCGAACAACGCGCATGATACGAATGTACACACATTTGGATTCAGCTGCCGGACGCGTTCGTACGATTGGAAAACACCATAAATTACCCATAAAATTGTCTGCGTAGATAAATCAAAACGACTCAAACGTAAAAGAAAAAAAAGAAAAAAAAGTACACGATTTATAAATAATATTATGAATACGTGAAGTTTTGATAAATGGCGTTATTCGTCGGATAAGCGTTGAATAGTACAATAAGTTACGACATTAATTATTATGACACGATTAAAACCCGAGAAAAACGATGCAACGCTAAACATTCGAGTTTTCAGTCTCGGGCGTTTAATATTTATATTACTCGCGCTTATTAGTTTACGTTAAAAATTATTATTTTTTTCAAATCGGTACATGTGCGTTGATAGAGATTTACGGTTTATTGTCGCGAGTTTGAATTCAACGGGACTTACTAACTACGCAAACAGCGTTCATATCAGCACAGGAGTGTGAATGGTCGAACAGTAATGCGCCGACTAGACGATATTTACCTCGTCAAGCTCAGAATCTAATACGGACATTAATTTGTCACAAACGACATTGTTCAATTTTAAAAGTTCCGATGTCGATAAATCGTTAACCGTTTGAAACGTTTCGCCGTTATCGTTCCGAAACAATAGTGTCTACGTTTAAACCGTGCGGCGGTTGGCCGGCGGGTAGCTGAACATTCCGCTCGTGGTATTATTTTATATCCAGCGAGAAATTATTTTTAGCGATACGATTATACTTAAACATTATTATTGTGTGTGCGTACGGCGACCAATTTTCGTGTAACCTGCACCGCCTCCGTCGATCAAACACCGGAAATTAAACGCCTCGCTACGAGGCTTCACGTATTATTATTAGGGACCGCCGAAGACTATTAAGAACACCACCGTGGGAACCCGCGTGCGTAGTTTCTTTGGAGGACAACGTTCGTTTAATTTTTCACCTCTGGGATGTCTTTCAATTATTATACGACGTCACCGGCAGTAATTCGATATGAAAGAGTTCCGGTGCACGTACGCATAAAGGGGCCAAAGACAGGAGTCGGAGTCGCGGGGTACACCTGGTGGGAGGTATATTATTGCGCTCTTTATTTTATTTTGTTTTTGTTTTTTTTTTTTTTTTTCATTTTCGTTATTGTCGTTTCGTTTCGTTTTTTTTTTTTTTCTGCTTCTTTCTCTCTTTTTGTTTAGCCCCGATGAAAATATCACAATAATAATTATTATTATTACCGTTACGAAGGCCTTTTTACCGCCCGTGAAAAACGACCCGAACCCCGTCGTTCCATTGTGCGCCGCCGGCTCTTAATTAATAATTATTACGGCACGGTGAATTCGCGTGTCGCGGACGGTCCGCAGAGCGCCGCGCGTTTCCCCGGCCGGGCGCGGCCGCGGAACGTCGGACGTAAAAAGTTTTGCGCCGCCCGCGGTCGCGGCGACGACAACAATTGTCGTCCCCGGGAAATAAAAACGTTAAACAAACGGGAGACGCGGCAACGACGCGAAAAAACAACTCCGTTTCGCGCGGTATCGTTCGTTTTATCACGCGCGCTGTCGACGCGTCAACGGGCGAACGTTATAAACGTAAACGCAACGCGGACGGCGGGGTGTACCTGCGATTCGGCGGCGGCGGCGGCGGCTGCGGCGGGTGCGGCTGCGGCGGCGGGACGTGGAGCTTCCGTAATATTAAAACTCGTTATTTACGGCCCTTATCCAGACGCGGCGCGTGCACTTAAGTTTTAAGGGGTTTTCGCTGTTGCTTTTTTCTCCCGGTCCATAAACTACCCGAGTGTTACAGGTTATACGTTATTTTTTCCGTCGGGTGTTTTTTTTTTTACGACGATTGTTATCCGACGTCTGCGTGTAGAACGGCGCGCACTTGACCGGGTACCGCCGCAGCCGAACGTTTCCGAAACGCGTTCACCGGGCCGCCGATCAGGACGGCCCCGTGCATTAACATTTCAAACGCGATTACCCCGGGACGAGACGACGCCGGCCGACCCGGTGCGCCGTCGTAATATCGTACACGTGTAGAGGCGCCGCCGCCGCCGCCGCCGCGACATCTCGCGCGTGTGCTCGCCCCGGTCCGCCGTATTTTCGGTACGACGCCGCCGGGCGGATACGGCCGTCCGTTCAAAATAGAAGTTACTTAAAAGCCTTCAATTAATGGAAGCGATAAATTAGTCGTACGCCGCGCGGACGGCGGCCCTTGTCGCGGCGGCGCGGCGCGTCCGCGTTTCGGACAGTTACCGGTCATTACCGCGGACGAGAAACGAGAGTGACAATATTGGAAAAATAAAAAAATGAACGATTATCGATAAAAACCCCCGCCGGTTAATATTTACCGAGAGAATTCCGTCATACGCGCGCGGTGTCGGTCTTTTGGATCACATTAAACTCACCGCGCATAGAGGAACCGTCCGGTCCGACGGCGAGCGACGGACCGCCGATTTACGGATTTTAATGATTTTTCTTTGTCCGGCTCATTTCCGTCGTTATTTTTATTTAGATTCTGAGCGGAGCGTGAGATTCTCACGGTTTTACAACGATGTTTGTTTTTTCGGTTTTTTTTTTTTTTTCCCCCGTGCACCGCATTTCTACCAGACATTTCGCTCCGACTTACGACGGTAGTAATTTTGCCGAAAGGCAATCTGAGTGGGGCGGTACTCTGGGGAGGTCATTTTTTTGATTATCCCAGGAGTTTTCCCTACAGAAGGAAATGATCGTGAAAAAACGAAAACCGAGATAACGGGAAAATAGGTACAATACTAAACAGATATTATTAAAAAAAAATGTTTAATGCACATTATGTTATGCATATAGCGTATTATATAATTATTATATAATGCATATTAAGGTTGTCGTTGGCGACCGTTTTTATTTATTTTTCGTTATGATTAGGTTTTTATTATTTTAAATATTTTTTAAACAATCATTGTTGTCACGGAAACGCACATTGTCGCAATCATTTTAAATAATGGCGTTTATATTGTTGACGACACTATCAATCGAACTCCGTTCGGATTTGCTTATACATTAGCAATGGTTAATCGTTGATCGCAGATACACATTAAATTCCCGTATGCATCCTACCTTCCCGACATCCCGCCTACAACAATGGCTGCGTCCGTCCCCGTTTTCTTAGGACAGCTTCTTTACGACCGTTTTCGATTCTCAACCAATACAACTCGGAATAATACAAATTTGCCGCGAACAGATTGTTAAACGGCGGGCTTACTGGCTGGAACAAAATTACGTTTTGTCTTATTGCGTCGACAATAACTATTTATCATCGTGTAAATTGTGTACAATTATTAATTTTATTTCCGATTATAATGCGAAATATTAATTCCTCTGTACATGGGTATAAAATCACTTGTATCACACACACACGCACACGTACCAATACGAATTATCGATATCACGGAACTATACAATGTCAGTCGCGTAACTTGGGAAATTTAACAATTCGTTTGATGTCAACGTTTACTACGCCGGCAATTCCATTAATATTGAACGGACACTTTTATCGTGATATTTAATGTATTCCCCGGGATGCCCGGCAAACGAATTGGCGATTTGAAATCATTTTCTGTAATATCGAAATCAATTATAACTATATCGGAAATAACGTTTCTCGTAAATGTACGCCTAGATAACTTTTTAATGCACTTTAAGAGAACCGTAAATTAGCAAACAACGGCGACACAGGCGTATCTCTTCGGGAGTTTCAATAATTCGAAATTCGAAATATTCATATTTTATTTTTGTAAATAATTTCCAGCACTATGTTTAAATGGATTTTTCGGTACTTCTTCGTTTCCTTCGAAAAAAAAAAAAAAAACCAACTACAGCATCGGGTTCAAAAGTTTAAAATCGCAATTTAATTTGTGATAGACAATAATCGAACAAGTACGGAAATTATATCGAAACGCGTGAACCCGTTTGAACGGCATAATTATCCTGCAAATTAATAACACACACACACACATTATATATTCAATAATTGCTACGCTCTAACGTAGACAACGTGTACTGCGTATAGTTTACCGACCATGGGGATTATTGTATTTTGAACCGAGCTTATTCGGGTCCGAGTCGTTAAATTGTACGGAATTATTTCATTGCGCCGCGATAGATAAAAACTAAATTAACATTATCTCGTAACATTTTTTGCGAGCGGATTAGCTCGTGCGAAACAAAACGTTCGGTTTTATATCAAGCCGCATGTAGCCATGTACACGGATAGTATACAATAACCACAACCGTCACTGTGATAATTTGCGTCGGTCGCGAGTCGTGGCCGATTTTACCGTGTCGCCCGCGGTACGTTAACCGGCAAGACAGAATGTCGTTCGGCGTCCGTAGGGCCCGTCGGCCGGACGTTGTCGGACGCGTATCGTGCTGAATTTTTCGCTCGGTTCGACGCCAAATATAATCGACCGACGATTACCGTTTTCGGTATAAGACCCGATGAAACGTGAGAAATATAATGCCGTGTTGCATTAGCATCATTGTGCGTACGTCTACACGACATTTGGGCTCGGCGGACGTAAAGCCGTAAATTTTCCGGAACGAAAACGAAACGAAACGGGGGAGGGAGGGGAAAAACAACAACAACAACAACAACGCGTTTTGTAATTTACTGGAAACGAGTTGGGGACGAATAAAAAATAAAAATAAAAATAAAAAAAAAAAAAAGTTGTTATTCTAAGTGTTCGAAACACATAAATAAACACGCGCGCGCCCGTTTCTGGAAAATAATATATTGATTTTTTTTTTATTGTTATTATTATTATTTTCTTTCCGTTTTTCTCGTATGTTCCCGAGGTGTGTGGGCGCGGTACACGTACCGTTTTACAACACTGACCGGTGACCGTAACGCGCGTCGGCGTACGCACGGGTACGCGTCGCGTTAAGGTTACACCGACGCACCGCCACGCCGAACGACGTCCGTTTCGGGCCCGCGCACAATTCAAATACCTATTGTGCGACAACAACAACAACAACGACAATAATAATAATAACAACAATAACAACAACAATAACGGTAACAATATACCGCGGGCGGTGCGCGGTAGGCGTACCGTGTGTCCGGCCGCGTGACGGCGGCGACAACGCCGAAAACCGGCGGCGCCCGGAACGCGGGGAGCGTTGAAACGCGCGTCGTGGCCGGACGATTATTGCGGAACGCGGGGAGCGTTGAAACGACGGCCCGTCGGTTCGCGGACGCCGCGCGCGACGTCGGAATTTCCCGCGCGTTTCCGCCGCGTCGAACGGAATCAAAGAGCGGCGGGAGAAGACGTTACGCGCGCCGCGCGACTTTGCAGGGTCCGACGGTACGCAGACACTCGGTTCGTCCGGAACGAGAGGAGAAGCGAAACCGAAAACGCACAGTTGCGCGGCCACGCTGTTCGCCGTCGCACGTACATACGCGTGTGTCGTACACGCATGCACGGCTTTTTTACTATCGGGGCAAAGTACCTCATCGGCAATGTGTTGCCCCGGAATACATTTTTTTTTCATAAAAAAAAAAAAAAAAAACGTAATTATGCACCCCGCGCCGCAGCTATCGCATTATTGCGTTGCGCGACCGCCGTCACGCGCAATATAACGCTGTGCACACGTCGAAACTTTTCCGGTACACAGTGTACACGTTGAATAGCTCCGATGTGTTGTAGCGTCTGCAGCGTAGCGCAATGTTTCGCTCTTGTATACAAATCGTATTAATACCGATTTAACGTAACGCGATCGGTTATTGGTGTACACGTGAGCGGTCGGTCATACTATTATTGATACTGTTCACCGCACGGCAATCGTAATGTCTAAAGTCATTCACCCAGACAGGATTCGTTCGATAGTTATAAACAAGTCTCGGGAAATTTGTCGTTTAAAATCCACAAAAAAAAAAACCCGTTTGAAAATGTCAAAAAAGCACTGGAAAAAGTGCTTAGAAAATGTCTGAAAATATATAATAAAATTGTACAGAGATTTAAAATGCCCCGATCCGTAACGGTTCTAATTTGTAAATTTACACGTATGTAATGTTGAACAATTCTATTTAATTGGTTAGAGCCGTTACGAAAAGGAGACATTTAAACCCCTCTGCCATTTTTACGTTTCGGGCATTGCAAGCGATATTTTCGTGGATTTTAAGTGCTAAAAGTCCCAAGCCGCGTTTGTGTCAACTAACAAAGCCGCTGATTTAAAAGCAAAACAAATTCCCATGAACGATATACATTGGACTTAAAATCACACCTGTTACGTATTGTTTATTATGAACTTCGGAAATAAGACCGAGTATTATATTATAATGCACGGTCTACGGGGAATTATGGAAGCAAAATAATTTAAATTTATTTGCATAAAATCAGAACTATACCCGCACGAAACAAAATGTGAAAAAACAGAAACGGTATCTCGATTGAAAAAATGATAAAAAAAAAAAAAAAAAAAAAAAAAAAAAAAAAAAAAAAATGAAGCGTAATATATGCTATAAAATTCTACTCCTATATAAATGGTTATGGACGTTATGGTCTTATGAATGACGAACATTTCAATCAGAAATACACAAGAATATGTCTACAAATGTAAAATAGAAATTAGGATGCAAAAATATACGTATACGCATAACTATTTACGGAATTTCGAATATATTATTCAAACGCGCCGTCGTTGGTTTTGTCAAAGATTCCTACACCCGGCTACACCACTATTTTACTAAAATAATAATTATTCTATTCGTACTGTTTTTAATTAATTTCGAGTGGTGTGTAGGTTCAACAAACGTAGTGGCATTTAGACGTGCGTTAGACTTGTCAAAATGTGTACAAAAGGCTTATAAAACACGTCATTTTCTAGTGAAGCCGTCCGTAATATTGTGCAGACTTACGCAAGAAGGCCTATTCATATTTTCCCTCGTTTTCAGCCACCTGTCGCACGTCTACTGGTCAATTTCGCGGCATTAAAATGCATCGTGATCGCGAAAACAAACATTTCACAAGGCAGATGAAATCCGCAAAAAAAAAAAAAAAAAAAAAATAATAATAATAACTTTGAGACACGTAAACTACGTGCCGATACGTTCGGTAGGAAAAAGACAGCGGCAGGGGTTATAACATTGTTTTTTTTTATGAAAGGGAAAAAACACCGGTCAAAAACAACCTCGGTAATGTCTTTGGGTTCAACGCGGAAAAAGATTGCGTGATAAATAATTCCCATTGCATTTCGTTCTTACCTATGCAATAACGCGTGTCAATTTATTTTCTTCTGCGGGTACACCGACATCTTATTAATAATAGTTTTTCGTATTATCTCTCGCGTTCTCTCTGTTCGATTAAATAATTGAGTGGTATTAAAACACAATATTATCTACTACCAAACTTATTGGGGGCTGGGGGGGGACAGACAAAAAAAAAAAAAAAAGAAGGGGACAATATCGGTCGGTATCGACGAAACTGTTTTATATTTTTTTAAACGGAGCAGTGCTTGGAAGTAACGGATAAATGAAACCCGTGAAGGATCTGTGTAAAGGGACATACTGGAATTTCGTTCATTTTTTTGGAGAATGATGACCGATTTGGTCGTTACTCTTTTTTCGTTAATATACTTATACCTCGTTTAAACAATGTTTAAATATAATATGTAGTGTATGTTTATTTATGTATTTTTATTTAATAAACGAAAAATGATCCTTTGTCAGGAACGAGGAAAGGAAATAGTTCTATTCTCCGATCATGGATCGATCCCGGAATCAGTTCCATTTCAACAAGATGAACGTAAACGAATTTCTTTTCAAAATGAATTTGCCAAGTACTGAAACGGGAAGTGACTCCAAACTTGATAACATTTACTTTTTCGCCGCGTCAGCGTTACTTTCCCCTGATAACATCTACCTGGACGACGAAAAAGCAAAATTACTTATAGTGAATAACGGGAAATTATTTTTCGTACGCAGTTATATTATTATTATTATTATTATTATTATTATTATTATTATTATGTGCCTATAATACAAAACGCGAACAACGGTCGGACTTCCGAAAGTCGGCTACGGTCGCGGCAAAGTAAATCCACGACAACAATTTTCCGCCATTTTAAACCCAAAACCTCTTTATACTTTATCAATCCGGAATACAATTATTTTTCTTTGAAACGTCTTTTTCTCTCTGTCCTCCCCCCTCCCTTACAGCCCGATCGTCTGACGTCTAAATAATAGTCCGGCGGTGGCGGTCGTTTAATAGATTATCCTCTTTTTTTCTCTCTCTCTCTCTCTCTCTTTTCACCGCTCGCTCGCGGTCACTCACTTTGTGAACGGATTTGAAGCTCGTTAGACATATAACTTGACCCCTGTGCACATTTTGTTTGTATTTGTGTGTGTGTGTGTGTGTGTGTGTGTGTGTGTGTTCCAGTCTAAGAGATTTAGCTCCTGTGTTCAGGTCCAGAACGATATCTTATACGTCCTGTGTGCAGAGCCCGCAGTACCACATTATACTTTATTTTCATTCTCCTGTCGTCGGTTGTTACCCCACAGACTGTGTTCGAAAAAATATTCAGAGCCCGTATGTAACTCGATCACTGTTTCTACGTTTTCTTTGTGTGCGTATGTTTTTTAACCGTACCCTTATTTCGGTTTATTATTATTTTTTTTTTCCATTAGTTTTTATCATCATTGCGTTAATTGTTATGTACGGCGCTGATGAAAAAAATAAATAAAAAATGTTAATTGAATTACAAAACCCTCGGTCCTCGAACAAACATAAATTAGTTAACAAGAGATTTCCTATGTGTATAGATAAAATCATCATTTTAAGTAAATTAGAACCGCATTAAATTTAGTGGTAATTTAACAAAAAAAAAAAAAAAAAAAAAAAAAAAAAAACAATAAACTTTATAAACTTATTAAACTAAATGCATTTTCATTTTCGTGGAAACAACTTCGTTTTAAGCACATTAAATTAATTGCGAAACGTGACCGGATACTCGTTTCAACGGTTGTTTTCGTGCGATGTCGTTTAATAAAATCTATATTTTTCGGAATTGTAGGTGGGTAGTCGAAAAGGTAGGATACATAATAGGACGATTCAAAGAAGCGACCCCTGAAGACTGAAGTTATGATTGGAATAAGATGACTGGACAAAAAGTTGTTTTACGGGGAAAAGAGGCCAACAATAGGTACACGTTTCCCGTGTACATTTTAAACTCCCCGTTATCTTGGCCGCCCCTGTTGCGAATTCGTTTTATTTTACTCACTTTGGTAAAAGCCGCTGTCGTATCACGACAGAATGGTATTATATTCATATACGCGTTTAAGATAGTGATTTATTCAGAATGTTATAATTTTAATATTCGCGAATCTGGACATTGATTAATTGTGTTTAGGTAATTTATCGTCGATCTGGGTTCAACCTCCAATTTAATCAATTTCTCAACTGTTCCAAATCGAAATCAATATTTTAATTCGTTAAAAAAAAAATGAATACAAATTATAACAATTATACAGTTTATTTTTATTATTTATAGTTTTAATTTGTAATTTTTTAATGTCTGATCTGTATACGCGCGTGATACCTATTATTTGTCCAGCGAATATGCGTCGAT